GATTATTTTCAACACCCCTAATGGCCGGTGGCACGGGGGGAGCTGAAGAATGTACAGTCAGGAGGAAGAAGTTCAGAGAACGGTGTATACTCGCCAGCGTGGACCCACGTCTCCGTCAGAAACATAAAATCCAGGTCACGAGAGGTGAAGAAGTCATTTAGCAGGAACGTTTTGTTTGCTATCGACCTAGCATTTAGCAAAGCCATGCAAAGTTTTCTCTCCGGGCTTGCCGAAGGTGTAGTGTGTCTCAGCGGACAAAGATGTGCGTGTTGAACGCCGCGCGGGCCGGGAGCAGTCAGTCGGGCAGGAGGAGCAGTCAGTCGGGCAGGAGGAGCTGCCAGCGGGCCCAGCAGAGGCCGCAGCTCCGGAAAGACAGGGCGAATCCATCGATCCCTCACATGGCGTGCAGCGGGAGGGCCATGACATCCGAGGCGTGGATAAGAAGAAGCCGTCAGGTGTGCTTTTTGATGGACCAGTGCACCACCATGCTTTCCCCGTCGTCTAAAGCGCTTTCGGTGAGGCAGGATGCAGGGAAACCGGCGCAGGTAGGTGGGGGGGGGGGGGGGGGGGATTTATGGTTGCCAGATGTAGGTTTGGGCAGCAGTATAAACTCCAGTGAGGGTCTGAGGTGGAGGAGAGCTTGGCGATCGTAGACGAGCAGAGCAGAGACATTCTGACATATACATAAAACAAAAGCAGGATAGCTAAAGGCAGAGAGCTGAGGGAGCGGCGAGCCGACACAGGCGCCATCTTCCCACACACTGGTCACAGCTGTACAGGCGACTGTCAATCAAATGCGGTACATAAGCTAAATGTGTGGGACAAATGATAAGAATGCTGTGCAGTCCGTACAAAGCAGGACACCAGCTCACCCTAGGGTACGATAAGGTAAGATAAGGTAAGGTAAGGTAAGATAAGGTAAGATAAGGTAAGCAAGGAAACTTCATCTTACAATTCTGCGGATGTCCTCCAGCATGTTGCGTTGATCGTTAGCCTCACCTGTGTTACTGGTTAAACTATCAGTCGTCTTGTTCACCTTTGGAGGCATGCTAGCTGCACATATATCCCAACAGCAGATACCAAATAGCTTTAATCTGAAGCTTTAATCAATCAAGTTTTGGTCGAGTTAGAAAATAAAATTGCAGGATGTTAATGGATTTATTATCAAGTCTCAGGACCTCCTGTTAGATCCGTCTCCATTAGACGCCCCTAGCGGTCTCTCGAAGTCACAACATTTTGACTTTTTTCTAACTATATTTAAAATCACAGAATTCTGACTTTTTTGGAAAATATCTAAATACAGACTTTTTTTTCAGAAAATCCCAAATTTCTCACTTCTTTTTGAAAATCTCAGAATTAGATAAATTGTCAAGTGTTGTGGTCAACGGGCCTGAAATAATCTCTGACTATTAAACAGACCTAATAATTGACTTAACAGGAGCTATTGAGTCTATGAAAGTTTACCACCAGGCTCGGATCCACCTGGATCAGCAAGGTCTCACCTTTACTGACTCCTGAAGAACCAGGTTCAATGAACTGCTGTTTCAATGCAGACGAAGCACTAAATCCGTCTAAGCGACCCCGTAGGATTCTGGTATCAGTAATGAGGTCCTGCCTCAGTGTGAGTGTGGCAGTCGTGTAATCTTACTTATCAGGAGAGGACAGTGCAGAATTATTTTGGGTTGTCCCAGTCCAAAAGGGTGGGATGATTTATTCAAATAAATGGTTAACACAGACAGGGTTTTTACCTTCTCTCGTTACATTGTGACAATCATACAATTATTTAGCTCCGGTGTAAACATCTAAGACATAATCATTAATTCACCGGTTTACATTATTTCTTTTTTTCTTTGTTGAAACCCTCCAGTAGAAATTCAGAGGACAGTCCTCATAGGGGGCCGGGTATGAAATCAACTGCCCTCTTCAGTTGGTACACAACATTCAAACTGTGGGGCATCAGCCGTGAATAAATCATTATATCTGCTCCATGTGGACAATGCTCCTTTGACATAGGCATTTTTGTAAATAAATGTAGTGGAGTAAAAGTACATTATTTACCTCTTAATTGTAGTATAGTAGAATTAAAAAGTAGCATAAAATGGAAATACTCAAGTAAAGTACAAGTATCTCAACATTGCACTTAAGTAAATGTACTTAGTGACTTAATGCAGGTATGTTATGTGTGCTATTAGCCAGAATCCACACTATGCATTAAATAAAGCAATGTTAATTCTGTTTCCAATTGTTTAGTGTTTCCCTTTAAAGAGTAACAAAAATAAACGATAGAAATACTGTCAAAGTCCCGGATCGATAAGCAGTATCGGTAAGAGTAGTAGTACCGTTAAAGTCTTAACGATACCCGTCGCTACACACGCGGCATTGATAGGTAGGCTATGTGTGGAATAGGAATGGAATAGTGATGGGATTATTTGCAACATGCAGTACAAGTATTAGTTCATGTTGATTCATATATTTTCATTAAAAGAATCTACTACTTTCACAGTGCACAGGATCATCTGCCAATACAACCACTTTCATGTTCAATCCATAATAACATGTCATGTTTGTACAACTATCTACAATGAATCCTACCAGTCTAGTTGGGCTCCGGGTTAGGAGGGTCTCGAAAATATTTCCTATTACCCAAGGGGGGCGTGACTGAAAACGTTTGGTACCACTGCCTTCGTGTTAGATTCCCCAGTGAAAAACCCTGAGAGCTTTTTCCTCTCTAAGCTGCTGCTTCTATATCCTACTAACAGAAGCAAGCAGAGGTGTGGACTCGAGTCACATGACTTGGACTCGAGTCAGACTCGAGTTACCAATTTGAGGACTTTGGACTCGACTTGACAAAATCACAAAACACTTGCGACTCGACTTGGACTTGAACACCAATGACTCGGGACTTGACTTGGACTTGAGCCTTCTGACTTGAGGTGACTTGATAATTTAATTCAGAGTTCTCCAACACGCCGATCGCGAGATGCCGCTTGAAGAGCAGACTCCCGTCGGGGAGAGCAGAATCTTCAGCCGCTGCAACTCTTGCTGAGAATCCATGCAGGCAGGGGCGGGACTTTATTTTGCTGAGCCACCATGCAGCCAATCATATGCGAGGACACACTAGGATCATACCATTATGTGAAAGAAGGGTGGGGGGCAGACGCTCCAAAGACAGCATGTGTAGTGGTACAGGCCAGTTACACAGAGCGATTTAAATGCAAGCGCGTCGGAAGAAGTCAAGAAATTTGCGAAAACCGAAAAAAGAAGCAGCTTCTGGCTGCATTTCAATGATATTGGAGAAAGCAAAGCTGAGTGGAGGATTTGTAAAATGAAAATAACCTTCAGAGCAGGGTTTTTTTTTTGGTAACCACTCAGGATTTATTGCCAGAGGTGGGAGAAGTTCAGATCTTGTACTTGAGTAACAGTACCAGAGTGTAGGAATACTCGGTTACAATAAAAGATCCTGCATTCAAAATGTTACAAGTAAAAGTACAAAAGTATTATCATCAAAATATAGTTAAAGTACCACCTGCAGAGGGATCTAGATTCAGGTGTTCTTTTCCCCATAGAGACGCCTCGCTGCACATTATCCCTTGCATAAAGATAGATCATGGGTCCCTTATAACATGTTGTACACAGTGGAAATAAACATCCTGGTTACCTCAACATCAGGGATCTTATACATTAAACTCCTTCTGAATCAAACCGTCACGGTAGCCTTACCTTACTGATCCCTCTTACAATAGAAGACAAACACGTTACTTTACCAGCAGAGAGAAAATGGATTATTAAATTATTAATGTGACTAATAAAGAGCAGTTTGATTATTAAGTATTATTCTGTTGATCGATGTCATTACATTTGTTGAAAAGCACATAAGGACTTGTTTAAGACTCGTTTTGTCAAAGTTTAGGACTTGGACTTGACTTGAACTTTCCCATCCTGACTTGAGACTTGACTTGGACTTGAGCGCAAAGACTTGAGACTTGACTCGGACTTGCAAAACAATTACTTGGTCCCACCTCTGGAAGCAAGTATACACCCACATACCCATATATGGGGGAGGGTCATTATCTCCCAGGGGAGGGAGACTGACCTATCCAGACTCACTTCAGATCGTGCTGCCGTGTCGTTTGCTCCTCTATATTTCAGTGTTTGTTAACTTTTCTTTTAACTTTGTATTGACATGTATATAGACTTTTTGTACTACTTTTTTATTTTGTATTTTTGTATTGTATGATATATGTTGCATTGTTGGAGGAGCTCAGGTCAGAAGATTGTAAAGATGATTATTGGAGTTGTCCATGAAGATTCAACAACTAACCAGTGTTGGGGTAGTCACTCAAAGAAGGTAATGCATTTCTTTACTTGTTTCTCACTGCTGAAAGTAATTAGTTAAAATACTAGTTACTTTACTTTTGGATTGCTCTTTAACATCACCTCAGATGCACCATAAATCAAATGAAAATGAACAGTATAAAGTTAAACCTCATCAGATCAGAACAAATCCTTAAAGGTGGGGTAGGGCCAGAGATATGTCAAATGCACCCAAATGACCCCAGAAGTGTTTTTTTCTTCTAAACCTCTCTAAAAAGGTCACATTTCACTTGTTTTGTATCAATCTTGATACAGGGTATTTATTATATGTTATAGTTCGGATTCCTAAAGCTTTTAGTCTACTATCCCATCATTCAAGGGTGCTATTCACTATAAGTAATGGTTTATTTTTGGACGGACACTATCATTTACATTTTTTTTACTATGTTCAATCTGAATTTACTTTAAAATAAAAATAAATCTATATTGATTCTGACTTTTCTACATCCAACTCACAGGTTTATCATTGCTTTGAGAAAAAAGATTATTCATTTACCCCTTTTAGAAGTGTAGTTATAGTCATTTGTTCTGGAAATGTCATTTTCGAGCCTGAAACCTGAACAACAGGCTTGGGGCTTAACAGGTTAATAAAATGTTATGTCAGAGCTCTTATTTTGAAGTGCTTCCTGTTTGCTGTTCAGCTTCGTCTGTTCGTGCTCGTCAGTCGTGTCGCACCTTCTCCTTCTCCTTCTTCTCTCTAAAGGTTTGTAACTTTTTGTGACTTCAGAGCTTTTAGAGACAACTCTGATTATCAATCATTGCTCAGAGAATAAGAACAACTCTTTAGTTTAACTTTCAGAGACTCAGAGACAGACTTTAACTCTCTTCCTGTTTTTACCTGAGATACACCTGTACACAAAAACTATTATTATTATTATCAATCATTACTCAGGGAATAACTCAGAGACCCTCTCTCTTTATTTCTGTCCTTAATACTGTGTGTGTGGTGTGTGTGTGTGTGTGGTGTGTGTGTGTGTGTGTGTGTGTGTGTGTGTGTGTGTGTGTGTGTGTGTGTGTGTGTGTGTGTGTGTGTGTGTGTGTGTGTGTGTGTGTGTGTGTGTGTGTGTGTGTGTGTGTGTGTGTGTGTGTGTGTGTGTGTGTGTGTGTGTGTGTGTGGTGTGTGTGTGGGTGTGCGTGCGTGCGTGCGTGGGTGGGTGGGTGTGGTTGTTACCTTTATACAGTCTATTGTTGTTCCTCGTCACATGACCAGCAAAGTATTTAAAGGTCCCATGACATGTTATTCCGGTTATTACCCGTCCCCTTGTGTGTTATGTAAATTTCTATGCATGTAAACGGTCTGCAGAGTCAAAACCTTCGAAGTACAATCTATTCTAGTAGACCTCAACAATGGAACTATGATCAGTAGAAATGGCCATGACATGGGACCTTTAAGGTAAAACATTTCATAAGTGGTAAAGGTAAAACATTGGAAATATAAAGAGGAATACATTAATAATACAAATCATTTTTTAAATACAAAAATTATACATGTGGAAATGTAAACATTAGTATTTAAAGAAAGCAACACTAATGTTCCTCCCTCAGCCACCAGAGGGCGACACATCCCACAGCCTCACTCACAGGTCAACTGATTAATAAAATAAATGTAAATACAAAAATAAAACATTAAAAACCAAAGTAAACAAAGATAAGACTTGAAGAGCAGGAAGTGTGTGTGTGTGTGTGTGTGTGTGTGTGTGTGTGTGTGTGTGTGTGTGTGTGTGTGTGTGTGTGTGTGTGTGTGTGTGTGTGTGTGTGTGTGTGTGTGTGTGTGTGTGTGTGTGTGGTGTGTGTGTGTGTGTGTGTGTGTGTGTGTGTGTGTGTGTGTGTGTGTGTGTGTGTGTGTGTGTGTGTGTGTGTGTGTGTGTGTGTGTGTGATGTCTTGACTTCACTTCTGGCTCACTGTCAGCGCGGCTTTGCTAACAGCTATAGATGGTCGGCTTGGTGATAGTGGATCTCTATTTATAAAATATACTTGCATGATTTTTTCCGACATACATTACGATTACATGGTATTCCTTTTTGTTTTTCATATGTCTTTGAACTTATTACTTTTTTCAACATGCTGTACATGCAATTAACATTTAAAAGAGAAAACATAAAACGATACTACAAAGTCATAAGGAGAAAATGTATTGAGCAAGTCCTTTACACATTTTCGTGATAGAATAAAGCACCTGTGAAGTTTGACTGCATATTTCTTCTGTCACAATGTCCCCTTGTTAAGGTTTTTGGCTGCACATTGAGGAAGCAAAACAAGCTGATCTGGTTTGTTCCCCCTTGATCCACATACCTTCCTCTAAGTCATGCCAAGCACATTGTTATCTTTTGAGATGTGACCCAGATAAAACTCAATGAAGGTCTTTAAGGTGTGTGTGTTGAGCAGTAAGTAAGTGTGTTACCGTCTAAGTTATTTGGTTTACCTGTGGAACAATAAAACAGGGATCCAAAAACCCTGTTAGCTTCATTCTGTGTTCCCAACAGACCCCAGAAGTTGACTTTTGGTCACAGTTAACAGTTGCTTTATTCTATTATTCCAATTGTTCAGGACATTCTCAATCAACTTCTTCCTAATGACTACATATAATTGTTTTCCGTTTTAATTAGGCTATTGCTTTTAAAAATGCTATTATGTATAATGTTTAAGGGTTCTAGGGGACCCCAGTCAAAAGAACCAAATTGCAGCCTAAAATGTCCTAATGTGGTATGACTTAAAAGGAGATATAGTATGTCGAAAACATACAAAAAAGGTAGTATTCTTTCTAAAATGTTTTGAAAAAAAAGTCATGGTATTTATAATATGAAAAAACGTAATAGTATGGTATTTTGAAATACAGTCATTGCATAGTATGTCGCAAAATATATTTAAAAAGTATATACAGATATATCGTATTTGTTGAACAAACTGAGAATAAACGTACTGAGTCCTGAGTAATGGGCCTCATTTGAGAAGGGCCCGCATGAACGAATAGCAATGGTTGTGGCGAGGAGGGGCCCATAGACGATGAATAAGTAAAGGGTCCAGAATTTTGTCTGACACCCTTTAAGAACGCTCTGTGTTTGCCTGAACTTTGAGGATGAATTTTTATGAACATGGAAAACTGGTGCTTTTATACACTTTTTGAAAGATTGTTACAGCTATCTGCAGCTCTATTTTCAGTATTTACTCAACTTCAATCACGTCTCAAACAAGTGCACAAAGATAAATCCCTTTGTAAGAAAGACTCAGATCTCAGGCTCACAGTGGAACATATTATGAGGTCACCTGCACCTCCTTTTGTAGTCAATCGAAGTTAGACTCCCCCAAAAGACACGGTTTTAAAATAAGATTTTTATACAGATTGTTTACGCGCACCGTTTTTTCTTCATCAAGCTGGAAATAAGGAAAAACACACAAAAGACACACATGAGGGAAGGTATCTTTGATCATTGTTTTGGCAGGAGCTCAGAGGTCTAGGAATTCAATGAGTAGCTATAAAAATATCAATCTGGTTCCGCAAGTTTCAGAAAAAATCAAATGACTTCAGTGATTGCACAATGACGCATAGCATCTCTGTTCTCTATTTAAAGGCAGCTGACCTGTGGTAAGTACAACAGACTTCAGCAGACCAGTTGACTTCTTACTGTCTATCATTCACTGTCAGCAGACACGTAAGTGTTCACCAATATAATACATGTATGTTATTAACTGTACCAGATTGACTGTCTTCAGAATGCAACTTAAAACGAAATGTAATTTTTATGTCATTATGGCTATCAATGTTTAATAATTTATAATTGTTCTATTATTCAAATGGAAGCTCACCTGAACAGGAAAATGAATGCATCTAACTTGTGCCATTGTATTTAATCATGATGTGTCATTTGATTGCAGTTCACCACAATGGCCAAATACATCACAGAACTTCAAGTGTCCCTGAATGCAGCTGAGGAGCAATCCTTTGAATCAGATGGCTTCAACAAAATCAATGTCAATCTGAACAAAGGAGCAGGAGGGAATGTCATCTATCTTTGGTACAAACATGGATCAGTGGCGATCACCAAGGTTCAAGTTTCCTTCAACGAAGATATGGCTGTTGGTTTGATCAATGCAGGGTACACAAAGATCGACACAGATCTCAATGCTGGAGCAGGAGGTAATCACCTCTACCTTTGGTACTTCAAAGGGTCCGGAGAGTTTAATACTCCCATAGTGGACATTAGTGTCACTGCAGATGGAGACAAGGAAACTGAAAAGTTTGGTCTTGGTTGGGAGAGAGTGTCCTGTGATCTGAACCGCGAGGCTAAGGGGAACTGGATCCACGTGTGGCTGAAGAGAGAGAAACAAACCTACATCTGTGATGTCGCTGCCACTGATTCCTACAGATCAGACACCGACTACTTTCAGGATGGCTACATCCGTATGGATGAAGATACTAACAGAAATGCAAAAGGAGCGTATGTCTTCACCTGGTACCGTCAGACCACCGACCCCAAGAATGCACTCAAAGAAATACAAGTCTCCATCACTGATAGTCAGTATCAGAGCTATCAGCAGCAAAAGTACGAGTTAGTGAATGTTAACCTGAACGAGGGGACCAAAGGTCAAAAGGTGTACATGTGGTACAAGAAAGAGGGATCCAACCAACCCATTAAGGCCATCGCCCTGCTGCTCAACACAGCTTTGGTTCCAGATTATCAGAAGGCTGGTGTCACTGTTATCCAGAGAAATCTCAATACAAGAACCAAGGGCTTCACTGAGTACCTGTGTTTCTATAAGTAAAGGCAGAGAGTTCTCAACACTCACTGAAGTAGAAAGCAGGGTTTGTTAAATCACTTGGTGATGGCTTTTTGAAAACATTTTCTCTCTACATTTCTTTATATAAAACAATGTGATTAATATATAACAGTAATAATAATGAAAATATATACTGTAAGTATCAAGGCTAAATTAATGATATGATTTAACTCTCTGTCAATAAAGACTAATCAAATCATTTCAAGAACACGGTTAATGAAGGATTGAGAATGAAGGCTCTGTTTCACTGTATTCTGCATATGTTCTGCTTTTCAATAAACACAAATCTGCATGTGAAATGATTTTGCCTCAGACATCACTTGAGTTTTTTATTGTGTGGAGAAAGTACTCTTTTACTAAATTAAAAGTTGCAGATAAAAAAGTATGTGGTGAAAAAAGTATTGCATTGACAGTTTACATAAGTAAAAGTACTGAAGTGCTAGCAAAGAACACAAATATATATAGAAATAAACACAAAATGTCACGTTTTAGAATATTTGTTATCGTATTATTGAATTATGATTATTGATGCATTAAAATGGACATTATATTTAATGTTGCAGCTTTTTATTATAATTACTACTTGGTAGCTTGTGAATTTCAACAAAATATCAGCAAAGTCAAATCTTTATTGTGGACATTCATTCTAATTGTTTGTTAATCATTTTGTAATTATAATCCGGAAAGTAATGTAAAGCATCAAACACGTGCAGAGGGGTCAAAAGTACAACAGCTAAAGAGTTTACAGGGGCAGGAAATGGAACTTTAAAAATTACAATACAACTCCCTAAAAATGGTGCTGAAGTTGTTTACTTGATTAATTGTACTTAGTGACTTTGAAACACTGTGGTCTTATGTGCACAAACGCATCGGTCATGGTGATATGATGTCACCTGGTGCAGGACAGGGTCGTTTTAGCCTTTGGTTTGAACATCTGAACCAAGGATTCTTTTTTGGAGCATTAATGAGCGTAAAACTAAAATAAATATTTAGTTTCCAATCAAAATCCATAGTCTTTATTGTCTGCACTTTTTGTATTGGTACCACATTTTCTTATGTGCTACATCGTGTTACTGTACGTTGTTACTTTTCTCTTTGTTTCCATCCCATAACATCTTTTTTCACTTTGATCCTTATTGGACATTGTAAAATATAATGATATATATTTATATAAATCATATATAACATTAATGTTAAAAAAATTTTTGACATGAAATATGAAATTATCATTGAATTTTATATAATACATTTTAGGGGGCGTGTGTGGTGTGTGTGTGTGTGTGTGTGTGTGTGTGTGTGTGTGTGTGTGTGTGTGTGTGTGGGTGTGGTGTGTGTGTGTGTGTGTGTGTGTGTGTGTGTGTGTGTGTGTGTGTGTGTGTGTGTGTGTGTGTGTGTGTGTGTGGTGCTGCGCTGCGCTGCTGAAAGAGCAACGCCTATAGATTGATTAGACTAAGCAAGTCAATCAGTCTGATAAAAACCTAATAAATCACACAACCAAAAAATATATCAACAGTAGGACTGGGGCCAGTCCAAACAAACACAAAGCTCAAACAGTCAAATTGACTCTCTTACCTTACTGTAAAAGCGACCACAGGGACCTGGGCGACTTCTTCTTCGCTTTCGGTCCCGGAACCCATGATGTGGAGGGTTTGTGGCCAGCTTTGATCCAAGACCGTACAAATGGCTGAGGGTCGAATTGCTCCAGGGAGGGGCCATTGATGTCTACGAAGAGAAGTGAGAAGAGGCTCTTCTCCCGCAACTTGTTGCGTTTGTCGGTGTCGGTCGAATTGACGGCAGAAAAGCCCCTCTCACACTCAGCTGATGTAGGCAAAAAGGTCTTGCTCGCTGTCTGCAGTTTTTGCAGGGCTTTCCCTGGAGATTTATTCTCTAATTTGTAGTCCCGAAACTCCTCAATGGCCTCTCGGGCCGGTTCCCCCAGTACTTTTGCCAGTGCGCGTACTTCATTCTCCCCATAGAGCAGGGGTGTCAAACTCAAGGCCCGGGGGCCAAATCCGGCCCTCGACTTCATTTCATGTGGCCCCGCAAGAGCTTGCAAAGAATATAATATGTTTATTATACGGTTGAATGCCGCTTTACAGAAGCACGTTGCCCATAAACTACATGTCCCACAATGCATCTTATTTTGTGACATGCACACTGCAGAGACTTGCAATTATTTGCCCTAGACTTCTGCTTTTCAGACGTAGTTAATTATGAAGTTAATACCCGATCTGATAATAATCCAATGCAGAGGCAATAATGTAATATAATACATTATTTTATATATGATATATTTATATATGTATTTATATATAGTCTTAAAGTTTTTGCACTGGCACTTTACTCCTATTGTGTTATTTTATGTATTCCCTGTGCAGCACTTTGGTCAACTGAGGTTGTTTTAAATGTGCTATATAAATAAATAAAGATTGGGATTGAGATTGAAAGTTACAACCGGCCCTTTGAGTGCAACCATAATGCTGATGTGGCCCACGATGAAATTGAGTTTGACACCCCTGCCATAGAGGATCAGGGCGCTCCGTTGTTCGGGCCAAAAGCGCTTGTCCAGTGGTTTTAGCATGCGGCCAGGTCCGGTTCATGCAGTCGCTTCTTCAAACTGTCTATTATAGACTGGTAAAACTGCAGACGGTTTATCTTGGGCCTGCTCTCTGAGAGCTCAACATCCTTGAACATGCCAGTAGCAATGCCTTCTTCCACTTTTTGTGTGGACTTTCCGCCACTGATTTTCATCGCTGTCAACACATCGATGGTCTGCTGAATGTAGCAACTTGCATCTACCAAAGATGTTTCTCTGCGTTGCAGTTTTAGTGACAGGCTTTTATGTTCTCGAAGAACATCCTTCATTGTTGCCAAATCAGCCAGAGATCCAGTGCTCGTGAGGAGTTTGTGCAGTCCCCTGAATTTCTGTCTCTCTGTGTCACTGAGAGATGATGTGTCGTCTGTTGCTGTTTTGAATTGGCGTGCCAGTGCGGGATAATCTTTCCAGACAGCTTTCACAGTCTGAAAACTACTAGCCACCCAACGAATTGTGAAGATTTGGCCTATTTTCAATATTTGCATGTTTAATTCTGCTGCTGCTTCTTGGAGCAAACGGGCATTTTTTGATGACTGGTGATAGAGAGCATACAGTTTTGCAACAAAAAACTCAAATTGATTACACCCAGCCAATTCTAGTCGTTGGGCTAGACAGTGAATAGACTGCACTTTGGGGAAATCCTATTTGAGTTTTGTCACAAGTCCCCCAACTCTGCCTGTGAGTACTGCTGCTCCATCCGTTGCTATTGAGATTAGATTTTTCCCCAAGAGCTCGTCATCCAGTCCAGCTTGTTTTAAGCTTTTCCTCAAACTTCTGTACAGCGAGTTAGCATCCGCACCTTCTGAAAGCTCAACAATATGCAAGAAAACATTGTCCACTTCCCCTTTTCCTGTCATGTCACATCGCACGTAATTAATCATGTAGGCCCGCCCATGAACTGTGCTCTCATCTATTGTGATGCTAATTAGTGAGCCCATGTCTTTTACGTTGGAAACAAATGTAGCTCTCATTTCCTCGGCGATATGCCTGATTATTTCAGCACAAGCATGGTCCGATTTGTGCACAGTCCCTACGGTAGCACCATTGAGTTTTTGTAGGAACATTACAGCAGGTAGCTTTCTGCATGACATTTCTTCTTTGGCAATCATATAGGCAGATCTGAATGATGTATATGTTTCCTGCATTAGATCAGCATTGATTGCTAATACCTTGGTTGGTAGGACATCTTTCTTTCTCATCTCCGAAATTGCGATTGCTTTTTCGTGAGCCTGGCTCTTATGATGCTTATAGATCTTTTTTCGCAGGTTATTTTGTTGATCACAGCTGACTTTTCCCTGAATCCATTCTGGTGAAAGGTGCACTCCGGTGGATTTTTCTGCGAGCGGCAAGGAGATCAATATAGTTTTTGCCTCTTTGCAAATCTCACATCCACATTTTTTATTTTTTATGAAAAGCCATGGATACTTTTCAGTGTCCAGTTAAAAGGCAGGCCATCATGGGCATCGTCAGCGTCATGTTCTCTAGTGCAGGTCGAACCGGCGGCTGTCGCCGTTGTTGAAGCCTCTTCTGAAGCCTCTTCTGGCTCCGCATCGGCAGGCCTTTCCCTCGGTGTGGAGCTGTCAAAATCGACCCTAACGCCGCTTACAGCTGGCGAACTAAAAGTTGTTTGGTTGACATTTTCATTTTTAGACTCCTTTGCTTCTTTACTTGTGAAACCAAAAGCTGCGAGGCTTGGCTGTTTGCGTTTCGCCATTTTCTTTATTACAAAGCCAGAGTTAAAAGTAAACAATATCAATATGAACATTTCAAATACCGCGCCGGTGATGGCAACACACAGAAATATTCACAATATAATATTCAGAAACTGTAATGAACAATGACTATAATTTATTTCAAGAACTTTTATTTACAGAAACTCAACCTTTCTAATCTGTGTGACACAAATATGCACGATTTTTTGGGCTCCCCCTATTTATCTCAAAGTCGGCCTTTGGGGGAGCTCCCTCCCTCTTCGGGGGAGCCAAGCTCCCCCTGGCTCCCCCCCATTTCGAACACTGGCGTTACTTAATTGTTATGACATCATAAAGTGGCCAAAATCTGATCAGCTCATTTTCAGACAGGTTTTTATATTAATTGATCAGGACAAAAAGAGAATCTTTTTTCCTGAAACTTTCATATAAAATAGGGGCACCGAACACTCATCTTTCTACATGTGATTGATACTTGTGATAAATGTGGTTTTATTGCTTCATTTTAACCACTTTCTATCTTATTTTCTTACCTCTGTAAAGCGTCTTTGAGCTCCTGATAAAGCGCTTGTTAAATTAAATGTATTATTATTATGGTTTCCCTGAGGTTCAATGGGAACATTTGTGTCCTCAAGGCTCTGTCTGTCGGTATTTTGGATACACACTTATTTTCATTCAGGCACGAAGGAGAATAGTGAATATAATTTCAAAGCAGATTTCACTGGATCCAAAGACCTGTTGGGTTTATATCCAGAAGAGCATGAATATAGTGAGTCCTCAGCTCGATCTATGCCAAAACCTGTATGACATTGTTTTTGGGAAAAAGTCACTCATCACTCATTGGCTGCGCCGGATGCTGTCAGGCCTCCCATTGGACGAGATATCCTATATATTAAAAGCTAGACAGCATGTGTTTGAGATCCTATGGAGGCCCTTTATTGATCATGTGAAGAATCTGAATAGAGTAGAGGGGATTATGGGATGCTGCAATGATCTG